TATCTATCTATCTATCTATCTATCTATCTATCTATCTATCTATCTATCTATCTCCCTCCCTCCCTCCCTCCCTATCTACATACACACACACACACACGTGTATTAGGGTGATTTCCCTCAGGTTCCAGGAAGGAGACTCCTGCTTGGGGAAAGAAAAGCCTCTCACAGTTCCAGAAATAAAATGCGTATCACTACTGCATGGTTAGTGAGTCTACAATGGCGCCAGCCGTTATCTCTTTAGGCACGTAATGAGTTAAATCGGCTCAGCAACACTTCCCAGGGGAGAGAAAAAAGCCTTGGACCCTTTTAAAATGGAGCCTCTCCCGTCGGGCGCAGGCAGCGATGATCGTAGTGGCTTGGCTTGAAAAGATCGTAATGTGAGTTGTTAGCCATGCGGCTGAGGCGTTATCACCTCCGATTGTCCTGGGGGCAAGAGATCATTATCTGAAGCTCCCTTGGCTCGAGTTATATATCATAGGGAGCTGTTTGACTCATTGAAACTAAAAGCCTTAAAGGAGTTGTTTAAAGTTTAAAAGCAAACCTTTTTGTTGTCTCCTTTTGAAGCCTTTGCTATTCCGGCCAAGGGAAAGGAAATTAAGCTGCCTATATCCACGAAGGCTGAGCAAAAACTGGGGACGCTAGGGAGGAGTCCCGTGGAGGAGGAGGAGCGTCCTCTCAATTAAAGCCCAGCCTATCAAACAAGCGACAGAAGCATCATCCCCAAACAATGGATGCTCTGAACAGCTCATCTGGAGAAATGTAAACAGCATCACAGGTGAGAATCTCTTCCTAACTTCCAGGAATCTTAGCAATTCAAACACTTTTTGTAATATTCATTCTCAATGCTTATAGAATTTCAAGAGTTATTTCTAACACAAACAGCAACCTGTCAGGAGGAAAAACTCACAAACATAGAAACAAATGCAGATTATCAAATAACACTTTAAAAACATTTCTTCTTACTTGCTATAGGTTTGTTTTTGCTGACCTCCTCATTTGCAGGCAACCCTACAATAGGCTGAAACTGACGTCTATCTAACGATTTTGGTTGCACAGAATCATGGATATCTACAGATTTTTGTGATGTGGCATCCTGAAAATAAAAGACAAAAATTATCTCATATGGGTTTGGCAAACAAACTTAAACACAAGTGAACTTGCTTTGAAGTAGGATTTTTGGTTAATTTATCTGATAAGTACAGAACACTATGAAATATGTAATTGTATATTTAATTATAATATATGCTAAATACATTTATTTACCATTTACAAAGCAACAAGTACTAATGGAACAAATCCTTTTGGCCCTTCCTTTTGTACAGATTCCAACTCAGCTCTGGAAGATCGCAGTAGCCGGTCGGTAAATTTAAGGCACCGGTGGAATGTGTGAAATAGGGAAAAGAGAAAAGGGGAATTTTTTTCTGGAACTGAGAATTTTTACAATAATCTATAAATAAATAATAATAATAACCTTATTTTAATGAGCAAAAAGGATCTAAGTAAATAGGTTAATTGCAAGGAAGTTAAGCAATATAATTTCAGTTTTGATTTATTTACAATAACATGACATACTATAAGGGACTAACTTGTCTTCTAATCTGGTAAATGTATTTATTTATTAAATTGATATGACATCCCTTTCACGGTTCAAGAAATAGGTCATTTTCTTCTTCTTTTAGGTGTACATGAAATCTATGTCACATAGAACATACAATGCTACATCTTTCTATTCTACATGATGTGGTATCCCACCATATGATCTTTTCCAATATTATAAGGATGAAAAGGAGTATTCCAAAATATTTTCCCTGACATTTTTATTTTCAAACATACCAGCTGTTTCTCTCTTCCAGAAGATGGAGATGGAGGAGCAGTATCTTCTCCCACTGGTCGCCAAGTTAAAAGCCTTGAAAAGAGAAAGCAACTTTATTTAATTCTAAAACAGAAATATTTCAATGTTTTAAGATAAAAACAGTTTTAAATCTGAAATAGCGTTCTCACCAAAAATGAGCCCAAAACTTATATTAAAAAACCCCTACCTGGGTTATAAGTTAATATAGCATATTTTCTTATATTTTCACCACTTTTATTTAATTTACAGTTCCTTTTAGCAAAGGAGGAAAAAAGCATGATCATTAGATTTGGAAATGTTATCTTAACGCTCCTCAATTAGTAGAAGCTGTTTGGGAATGGAAGGTCTTAATTAGTTTATTAGGCAACAAGATTATACAAGGTCACCAGTCACATATCTGAACAAATTCAGTTCAGATGACTAAGAAAAAGCAGAAAAGAAGCCCAAACCATCTCACTCTAGTATTAAAAAATATCATAAGCAGATGAGAGATAGAGCTGCTCTGAGCATGAATTAGTTAAAGATCCGATAGGGATAAGAATTCCAAGATACTTATGTGTGACTAAATCCAATACAGAGACTATATAGATGTGTCATAAAACAAACACGTGCATGTTCATTATATCAAAACAAGCATAGCTAATGCATGTTCAATATTTCATACATATGAATTTGTTTGCAGACTTGCTCCCAAATATTTACAAAAAGAAAAATATCTTACGCATGGGGAATAGTGGTTTTGAAGATATCCAGCATACAGTTGCAAGTCTTATCCCAGATTTCAAGGGTAAACTTTTCCCCGTTCAGAATGACAACATTCTCTAAACAGTTTGTACCAGACCGTGCTAGTTGCTCATTGTCTGAAATGCAAACAAGGCATCAGCTTGTTCATATTATACAGAATAAATTGCAAGCATTGTCTGTAACAAATTGATGCAATCTTACCTTGCTGAACACACCAGTACAGCTGAGCAAATATATCATCCAAAAGAACATCACTAAGTACTTCTAAATACTGTGTGAATACATCACAAATTGCATAAAGTGCATGATTGCAAGTTGTTGTCATCCACTCCGCTTTCTAGAGAAAAAAGCAGAGAGACCTTCTTAATAATAATTGTATTAATTATACTGAACAGTAGCCAGGAGCATTCAAAGTCCTTCAGGAAACTTGGAGAATATTAAAAACAACAACAGCAATTATGTAAGAGAAGCCTAAACAGAGTGCTGAGAAGAGATTAGAAAAAACCAAATATGATTTTCATGTAATGTAACAGCAACATAAAGGAAATTATGAGAGCAAGGCAGCTTCTTTTTACATTTTAAGCCACTGATTTTAGATCACTAAAATGATGTGCTTCAGTCTCTGCATGTCTAGGCTGGGCTTAATTTGTGGAACGCTCCTCCTCCTCCACGGGATTCCTCCCCAGCGTTCCCCAATTTTTGCTCAGACTTGTGGTGGATAGGCAGTGCTTTTTGTTCTTCCTTGGCCGAAACAGGAGTATTACTCAGCAGGTTTGGATATAGTCCAGTTCGTTTTTTCAGGCTTTTAGCCTCCAAATCACTTTACGATCTCCCGACGTTAGCTCTCTCCATCTGGTCGTCGGAGATCATTTGCATTTTCGGGCAGCGCTGTTTCGCGCCCGAAGCGGGTTTTTCCCCCCAAAGAAATATAAAAATGTTTTTCACTTGCTCCTACGTTATTAAATTTTCTTTGAAAATGTGCTAATTATTTATATGAACATTTAATATCATTTGGGTTATTAGATATCAACTAAACTAAAGTGTGCAAAGCAATGAAGCACTCTGAACCCAAGGTGAAAACTGTATTCAACACCACCACAGCAACTTTGCTATTAAATTGGTAGACAAAGCGGAAAGTGTGAGCCATTTAGTATTTTCTACTACTACATATATTCAGGATATTTTTGGTTCAAAGAAAAAGATAAACAGTGTTAGGTATAACATTGATACCAAATATGGTTTGGGTGAATAAATAT